ATTTGAAGAGAGACATGGGAATAAATATTCCCATTCCATTTCCTGCATTTTGTTTTTGCTATGCTCATGAATATATTTTAAAATGGAAAAACTCATTTTAAAATGACTTGCAGAGATAGTATCACTCCTTACCTATGGAGAAGGATATTGACAAACCTATATACTTTTTTTTTTTATCCAGGAAGATGTTTTTGGGAATTATAATTGTTGGAAGTGTTTGGTTCCAAGATGGTAGAAAGATGCAGGAGCCAATGAATTTGGAAGCAGGTTAGAGGAAAGGAGATCTCCATTTATTTTGGAATCAGAAGCAAAGTGACTCAATATCAGTTCTGGGACAACTGAACTGCCTGGCATCGGGAGTAGACTGATTCTTATACCCTTTTGGACCTTTGAGATTGAGATACCTGGTGGGGGTTATTTGATTAGATTAATAATGTGCCTTTCTGTATTCTAATTGTCTCTTTAAAAAAATTGTAATTTTAATATATATATATATATATATATATATATATATATATATATATATATATATATATAATGACATTCACATAACATACAACATATACGTATCTTATCTCTTTTAAACATTGTTTCTTCATGGTCTTCTTTCTTTTATTTTATTTTTCCTTCCATATGTCTCCATTTCTTTCTTTCTTTCCCCCCCCATTGTCCTTCCCCCCTCTTTTGATTACAATATGTTTTTTAGCTTTAACAAGCTTAACTTTATACATTTCTCTACAATTATTATATACATATTTTAATTATATCCATAATTTTATACAATTCTATATTCTTGTTATATAAAATTTTTCTTTTTTATTTATACTGTTTGTTGTTGTCCGGTTCTCTACATTTTTATTCCACTCCATACATTTGTTATGTATATATTTTATAATTCTAATTGTTTCCCCTGATAGTTATTATTCTTTATTTCTCTCCTTAAGCCATTTATACCATTTATTCCATATTCTATAATAATCTGTCTCTTCTTTTTCTTTAATTTTTGTTAATTTATCCATCTCAGCACATTCTAAAATTTTATCTATCAATTCTTCCTCTGTTGGGGTTCTTTCCTGTTTCCAATTTTTTGCATATACTATTTGTGCTGCTGTTAATATGTGTGGCATCAAATATTTTATTTCCTTGGTATATGGTCTTGTAAAAATTCCTACAGGAATGTTTCTGGTTTTCTTTCTATTGGTTGATCAATTATTTGTTCTATCCACTTCTTAATATTTGCCCATGTTCCTTGGGATTTCTTGCCTTTCCAACATGTTGAGCTATTGTTCAGATACATCTTGTAAGTCTTGTTGGCGGAAGATGCCATCTATAAAACATCTTCAACTGGTTTTCCTTGTATGCTGCCGATAATGTTACTTTTGCATTTACTTGCCACATTGTTTCCCATCTCTTCAGATCTATTGTATAATTAAAGTTTTGCGCCCATTTAATCATTGTGTCCTTCACTATCTCTTCCTCCATTTTGTATTGTAATAGAAATTTATAAATTTTGCTAATTAGCTTCTCCTCTGATCCTAATATGATTTTGTTTTTATACCAATTTTAGATACACACACCTTTACTTATATCCTATATACGTTTCAACTTACTCTGGATTTATCTATTATGCAAATATACAGTATAATATAACACTTCATATAACAATATAACAATATAATCAATTATTACTTTGCAATTAATCAATTATTACTTTACAATATTTTTAATCAGTGTAATGTATTTAATTTGCTTTTCTTCTGCTTCTCTATTTTTCTCCCTCCCCTCTTTATATTTCTGTAATTAACTTAGTATCTTATTCATTCATTCATTATATTCTGTAATATTCCTCTTTTTCATATTCAGTAATTTAACCATACAATAATTAATTATAGAGTTAATAGATATTCTAATTGTCTCTGTTTGGTTTCCAGGATGGTGGTCAGGGTCAAGGCTAGCCTTGGGGAAAGGTGAGGAATGTGAATTCTATGTAGTTTATTGTTTTCTGACTTAATCCTTAATCCTGTCAATTTGACCTGCCACAGTCTTCTAAAGAGGTTACTTGAGGTATTCTGGCTGGGGGGGGGCAGGGATTGCTTTAGCCTCTATGGAAGGTTCTTTGCCTTCCCTGGGGGCATTGAAATAATGGGGGCGGGGAAGCATCTTATGATTTTTCCTAGAGAGTATTATGGAGAATAGGTTTGCATCAAAATGGTTTCAATAAAAACCATATCTGATCTTAACAACATACAAATAATTTTGCTTATTTTATCGGGCAGATCATAACATAAAATCCATCCAAATGTGCTTGTGGTATTGATGAGAAGATATGTGTACGTATAGCAGCGTTAGAAATGTTCTCCAGTTCTGGGTAAAATCTTTTCTTCTAACACTTGGATCATTTTATTTAATTATTTCTCAATGAATGTAAAGTGTTTGAATAGATAATATTTGTCTTTAGATAATATTTATCTTTATTTATTTTGAGGATATAAAAAGATAACAAGGTAAAAATGTAGGTAGAAAACAGCACAGCTAAAGAAGCTTCTTGGATGAGAAGCGAAATATCTTCAAAGAAAAACAAGAAAAAGCACCTTTGGGACAATTATGACTTGGATGACTAAGAATCTTCATAGACATAAAAAAGTAAAAGTTTTTTTAAACAAAGAAGCTGGAAGGGACCTTGGAGGTCTTCTAGTCCAACCCCCTGATGAAATACCTACAACTTCTGAAGGCAAGCTATTCCATTGTCCTCACTGTTAGAAAGTCGGGCTATAGTTTCTTTTTGCGTGAAGACTGGTGCAAAGAATTAGTTAAGTAACTCTGCTTTCTCTCTATTACTTTTTTCATTATCTTTGACTTTTGTTGGAAGTCTTTGTTCATTCTGAGCCTTTGCTTTCCTGACTTCTTTGCTGATTTGAGCTATCTGCTGATATTCTGCCTTAGTTATGTATCCCTATTTCCATTTTTTGTACTTATCCTTTTTGTTTTTCAGTTTATCAGAGAGATTTTTGTGCAACTGTGCTGGTTTCTTGGATTTCTTGTTGTTCTTTTTCAGTGGTATTGTGCTGGACTGGACTTTTATGATTACATTTTTCAGAGTTTTCCATGCTTCTTGAGTTGTTTTCCCCTTTAGAATTTTTATCTATGGAATTTTTCTTAGGTTGTTTCTGAATTTGTTAAAATCAAATAAGTTCAAGACCCTGGCTGGATTATGTTCTATTGCTTGTGTTTGCATTATATTGAATTCCAATATGACGTGGTCATTCTCACCCAAGGTTCTAGCACCTTCAACTACCTCTATTACTTCTTCTCTAATAGAAGAATTAGGTCCAGTGTAGCTTTTCCTGTAGTTTCCTCCTCCACCTTTTGGATGACAAAGCCTACCCATGCCCAGTTCCTGCAACTGTTCTTATGTTTTGCCTCTAATCCCCTAATCATCTTTGTTGCTCTTCTCTGCCGTCTTTTTAGAGTCTCAACATTTTTTTTATAATGTGGTGACCAAAACTGAAACCATCTATGAAAAAAAAGCCCTAAATATTTTTTTCTGAAAAGAATAATATATACTGACATGTAATCAAGACAGGAAGAGGCTGAAAATAATACAGGCAAATTTGGACTGTTTAATATAACAGATTTTTGAAGTTTTCAGTTCCTTTCCCTAGAGAATTGAAGCAGAGTAGTCTCTCAGAAGGTCTAAGCTGGACTGTATAATATTTAGTTTAATGCAGTAAAAGACCTCAGACATTACAAACATGTTACAATTTTCTTATAAAGAAAACCAATCTTAGCTTAGATATATGGTTTCACTATTATAACATTAAAGTAAGCAACAGAAATTAAGAATATGTGCTTAACTTTTCTAGAACTTCTTTATTTCTTCATTTCTTCATTTTTTATTGTAAGTAAAATTGAACAATGTCAATGCTATTTTTTTCATTTTTCATAATTCAGAGTGAGTCACTTCACTGCAATGATAAGTGGTACTGGCAAAGCTTAAATAAATAAAATAATTACATAAAATCATGGGAACTAAACATGGCAATCTAATTTTCTCAGTTTTCCCTCCCAAGGTCAGCCAAGTGTCAAGATTTTTCAGGGTAAACATGTTTAAATGTCAAATTTTACTAAACAAGCATAAGTATGCAGGGAAAGTTGTCTTTAAATAGTGCAGTTGTATTTAATATAGAATATACAAACATTTAATTATTTCTTATTATTTCTGAAAACACTTCTTTCGGAATTTGTATTATAAATTTAGGCTTTAAATCTTCTATGACAGCGAAAGTTCTGATTTGCAGTCTAAGTCAAATAAAATGACAACTTTGGTCTAAATAATGAATGTAAAGAATTCTAATGAAATTAAAATCCCAAAATGATATCTTAATAGGCTTTATCTAAACATGTTTGTTTTTTTAAGCATGAGTCTGCTTGGCTGCCAAAGAGATAGATTATTTGAAAACTATCTTTTCTCTTGCTTTTTTCTTTCACTTTATGTTCGTTTAAGGATGACAGTAGCTAACAGAAACACTAGCACATTTCAATTTCAATATTTGGATTAGATGATAGGCTTTCACTCCTTATCACATAAGGCTTTGGAAGAATTAAAGCAAATTTTTAATTAGATAAACATGTCTTAAAAATTATATCAAAGGCGTAGTAAATGAGCATGGGAGATAAGGTTGAAGATGAAGCACACAAACTTTCAAAACTGAAGACTGAAGACAGTCAATAGTTCGGCACACACACTGTCAGCACCACTATTCCTGCTTCCATTTTGCCTATTTATACATGAACTCAAAACAAAATACAAATTGATTGAAACCAGGAAAGAAAAATAGGCAAGTTTTCAGATCATGGAAATAGTGTGTATAAATAGATCAAGGTGAAATCTACTTACCTTCCTTACCGGTTTGGAAGCGCACATGCTGTGTGTGTGTGCATCACAGACACGCGCAGATCTTCTGCGCATGCACAAAACTTTCTGCACATGTGCAGAAGATAAAAAGCACATTACTTCCTAGTTAAAGCCAGGAAGTAATGACTCCGCCAGGGGGGGCGGAGCTATGCTCTGCCGTCACTACCAGTTCACCGAACCACCAGCAAGATCGCTACCGGATCGCTACTGATCCAGTCCGATCTGGGAGCATTTCACCCCTGAAATAGATCTCTATATAGCAGTCATTTTTCCAAAATATACACGGGGATAAAGTAGACTCATGTACTTACTTGGAGCAGAGCCTTCAAGCATAGGGCACTTTTATTATATTTCAACTTTCATGGAGTTGTATTTTTAACAATGGGTATGACGGAAATGTCTACTTTGCTGATCTGATTCCAGGATGTTAAGTAACTGCTTGAAAATTCAAGTTTGCATTTTACGTATCTGAGTTTACTTAGCTATCTATTTTAATCCATCAAGAAGTTCTTATAAACTGTAATAGTAAAACAAACCCTGAATTACAAGTTCCAGAGCTTCTAAACAAATATGCAAGAATAGCATGTTATAACATTAAAATTAGATCAGTTTATATGTGAACTTCAAAAAAAAAAAAAAAACTATTTGTGAGCTTCATGAAATAATAATTTTGTTCCATTTAGGGACAAGTTCTTTTGCTTCTAGCTTTGCAGTTACAAGCCCTCTTTTGACCCATAAAAGAGTTAGACAACTCTGCAATTTCTAAGCCAGTTTGACTTTCATCACAGTTCTGATGATTATACAGAACTAGCAAAACTAGCAAAACCAGATTTATGTTCCAAAATGCCAATGATTTAAATTAAATTCTGAAGCTTTTAAAAGTTTAAGATTCACTACTTGGGATATAGATGTGCTGAAGGGAGACATGGCTTAAAATGGCCAGGGAATAAAGTATATAATCTCATTTGATTCCATTTCAGGCATATTTCATGGTGATATACAGATTATCCAAAAAAGATGTATCTGAAATCTGGACAACTACAATTTATACAATCTGTATAATCCCATGGATTTATAGAAACAGGACAGCAGTCTGGAATTCAAATGTATTCTTAATTTTTCACAAATGTATTGCTATTTGTTTCATTTTAAATAATGGCAACATGTTTTTCTATTTTCAATGATTTGATATTAAAAAAATATAATGTTTACAACTTGGTAAATTTTCAGTTTGCTAAAATCCATAAGAACCTACAGGAAGAGTCAATGAAAAGAAATATCTTGTTCTATTTCATTTGAAGCACTCTGTGCTCAATATGTCTGAGATTTTTAGGTAAATGCATTAAATTCTGGAGGGGAGAAGTGGGCCATTTGATTCTGGTTTTCTCATAGTTTCTCCAGATTCACAGGGTAGATTGGGATTTTTCAGCTGAATCAGTTTTCCAGTTGCTGTAGAAGATACACTGCACCATTCTATTAGACTCTAGAAACTGGAGAAATCCGCAAAACTTGGAACCTATGGAATTAAACAAGTCACTGCTATTTTGTGATTAGAGTCAAGATTAAAGTTAAGGAGCACAGCAAACAGAATAAGAAGGGAAGGAAGGGATTTTGGAGATCTTCTAGTCCAATCCTCTGCCCAAGCATAAAACCCTATAACATTCTGGACAAATGGCTGTCCAATTTCTTCTTAAAAACCTCCAGTGATGGAACATTCACAACTTCTGAAGGCAAGCCATTCCACTGATAAATTGTTCTCACTGTCAGGTAATTTCTAATTAGTTCTATGTTACTTTTTTCCTTGATTAGTTTCCATCTATTGCTTCTTGTTCTGCCTTCAAGTTCTTTGGAGAATAAGTTGATCCCCTCTTCTTTGTGGCAGCCCATCAAATATTGGAACATTGCTATCATGTTACCCCTAGTTTTCATTAAATTAGATATACCCAATTCCTGAAACCATTCTTCATATGTTTTAGCCTCCACTCCCCTAATCCTCTTTGTTGTTTTTCTGTACACTCTTTCTAGAATCTCAGCATCTTTTTTACATTGTGATTACCAAAACTGGATGCGATATTCCAAGGGTGGTCTTACTAAGTCATTATAAAGCAATACTAACACTTCACATGATCTTGATTCTAACCCTCTGTTAATTCAGCCAACAGTTGGCTTTTTTGGCAATTCCAGCACACTGCTGTCTCATACTTAAGTAATTATCCACTAGGATTCCAAGATCCTTCTCAGTTACTACTATTGAGCCAGGTGTCACCTATTAGATTTTATTGTTCTTAAAATATAGCTTGCCTAAAATATTAATCTATTTCTTAAAAATAATTTGATTTCTGAAGCAAAGGACTCTGCTTGTTTTTCTTGCCTTTCTGAAGACTTCTTAAGCTAAGCCTACCATTTATCCCAGCTGTAGTTGAGATGATGCACCCAATTCAGTTTCTTCTGAAATTTACTGGAGTTCAGTCCCTGATTTTAATAGAACAAAGCTTTTTCTATCTAGGTGAGGGATGAACTGAGGCTTTCCCCTCTACTGTATATTATGGAAGTCATCTCTTCCCCATTGTTGATCTTGTTTGAGATGAAGGCATATATATTTCTAGTGTGGTAGGCTGGCTGTTGTTCTAGATTATAAAATGTAGAATATACGTACATTAAATGAATGAGTATAAAAACAACAATTCTGAACGTGTTTTTATTGTATTCTATCTTGAAAATTTATGCTATATGGTGATTAATACATTTTGCAAATAAATATTTGCAAATACTTTTAATAGGAAGAAAAATCCCAAATAATGTTTAATATAAAGAGGAATCCTGAAAACAACACACCCAAAATCACAAAATAATTTAATTTTCACAGTGTATTGTGGGTAAAATAAGGAAAGGGAAAGGAAAGGAGTTCCTGCAAATCTTACTCTGCTAATCATTGCTGACTATAGGGAACTGCACTCATCTCCATTTCAAGGCCATGAAAAAGAGGTGAATGTGATTCTCTATAGTTGCTTTTACATTCATTCATTGATAAGCACTTCTCATAGTATTAATAGTATTAATAGTATTAATATTGAGGTATTTCTAACAACTGTACAACTAAATTGGATTTTGTGGAGTCCTGAAGCCTTTATTTGTCACATGCCAAGTCCCATGACATACATGAGACAAACTATCTATAGCTTTTGTTTTTATCACCTTCTCTCCATTCCAGCCTCAAGACTTGGATGTAGTATTCAAAGCTCATTGAAAAATTGATACTGAACTTTGGTTTTCATGTGTCAGAATGAAATAACCACAGCTTTCTCAGTTTTAATGGCCTCTGAAGTCTTTTGGCATAGGGCATTATTTTAGTAATTGAAAGGTGCTTCAAATCTAGTTGCATGCATATCTGAAAAACTATTTCCCCATCAAAATATGACTTAATGTTTTTACCTAAATATACTTTTCAGAGTTTTTATATACATCCTTTTTGTTCCTTTTATTAATAAATATTCCTCCAAATTTTTATTTCCTTTGAGATTAAAGGACCTAATTCTTACTAATAGAGAAGAAGTGATAGAAGGAGTTGGAATTACAGGAACTTTGGATGAGAAGGACTATGACATATTGGAATTTAACATAACATAAACACAAGCAGTAGAACATAATTATACCAGACTTTTAAAAGAGCTGATTTTAGCAAACTCAGAGAGAGCTTGGGAAAGGTTCCTGGATGAAAATACTAAAGAGGAAACAACTCAAGAAGCTTGGGAAACTCTGGAAAATATGATCATCCAGCACAATACCACTGAAAAAGAAAAGCAAGAAATCCAAGAAGAAGCCAGTATGTTGAATAGAGATCTCTCTGATAAACTGAAAGACAAAAAGAATAAGTACAAAAAATTGAAAGAGGGATACATAACTAAAGCAGAATACCAGCAGATAGCCCAAATCTGCAAAGATGAAGTCAGGAAAACAAAGGCTCAAAATGAACAAAGGCTTGCAAGAAAAGTCAAAGATAATAGTAAAAGGTTTCTTTCAATATATAAATAAGAAGAAAAAAGTCAAGGAAACAGTTGATTCACTAAAGAGAGAAGATGGCAAGGAAGTAACAGGCAGTAGAGAGAAAGCAGAGTGGCTTAATTCATTCTTTGCATTGGTCTAGTATGAAAATGCAGTACAAATTGAAAGCTTTAATTAATCATTTAATCTATTAATCAATGGAGACCAATTTTAATCAGTGGACTAATTTTAAAGATGCTTTAAGAATCCTTTATACTTTAAAAATGTGGAATATGATAGGGAATTATTAGTAATTTTAATATCACTTTTAATAATGTATAATTTGGAGAATACACACATATACACATAAAACACATACACACCACATAACTTATCAATTTATGATGAAATTTAAGGGATACATACCTGGATATATAGTAAGAAAATCAATCTTCAGCAACAATATAGGTGGAACTAATTTCTATGATTTTTCATTGATTGAATGAGATTTTCTGAGGAGTGAAAATGGCTATCATGTTTTAGAATCTGATGTTGAGATGCTGAAAAACCATTTTCCGGGTAGTTGGATGTTGTGGCTATGAAACCAGCTGATTGTCTAGTGCAAGCCACATTGTCTGTACAAAAAGTATATAACAACAAAGACTTTATTATTTATTTGCATTCTAGTATCAATTAGTTGGAGAATAAGATATGCATTTGTTAACATATACAGAATATTTCTTAAGAAACACTTCATACTCCTCTATAGATTACTGTTGAATTGACCGACTTTAGGAGCAACTCATTAACCACCTATGTCAACTCTTTATTATAAGAAATACTTGGATTATTGTTTGAAATAAACTTCCGAATTAAGATTTTGACTAAGCCAATAGTATTTTTGGAGTTGTTATAAGATCATGGTTGTGCTTTGATTTGACAAAGCTCTGAGCTCTGTGCTGGATGGGCGATTTTAAATGTTATTTGTTTTATGGATGGAAGTATATATTTCATCCTAACCCAGATTCAAAATCCATCCTGAAGCTTTTCCTCTATTATGATGGTTATGAATTCACCTTGAAGGCTGAAAAGAATAGCACTGTGTGTCAAAAAGGATATGGTGTGTGAGAAAGAAGTTTCTGTTTTATGCTAGCATACTAGCTTAATGAGGAGCAGATGGAAAAGGTGAATATATTGGATTCACTTGACTGACAAGTTTGCATCAAAGTGGCTCTTCAAACAGACCTTTGATTGCTTGAATCCTTACATCTTGGATCTATATTTTTCTCCTTTTTAAAACTTTCTCTAGATTGTACTAATCCTTTCTTTTTTACATCAAATTTTATTAATTTTTATCATACAAATATAAGATACAAAGGAAAATAATAAGTAATTAAAACTAGGGAAAGGAAAAATGGGAAAAAGAGAAAATGTGAGATGGAAAGGGAAAAAGACAAAAAAGTGTTGACTTTCAACTTTCTTCGACACAGTAGAAGGTAATAATATTACAACCTCAACTTTTTACTTTTATACAATAGTATATACTAACCATCTGTAATAATCCTTTCTCAAAGATGATGATTGTTCTCTGCCACCACTCTTTATCTTGCATTTCAACCAGTCTACATTTTGCCATAGGGGATAGTGCTTTTTTAAGTCTCACTGAAGTCTTCCACAAAAAATAAAAATCTATAGTCACTTTTTAAAAATATTAAATAAAAATATAATGTTGGAATGTTGTATGTTTCTTATAGATATTCCTTCTCTGTGTGTAATCTTCTAACTTCCTTGTAAAGTTCATTCTGTTCTGTTCTGAAACACAGCAAAAATGTTTTACCAATTTATTAAAGTTTCTCTCATGCTAGAAACTGCCTATCCACCAAGCAGTTCAAAAGTATGCAAATGCAAATAGAAAAGCAGGTATCATTTAAATGGGAAGATAATAGCATTCTGTGTGCCTTTTATTGGCCAGATAATCATAAAAATGTCTTTGGACAATGCCAGCTCCTTTGGCCGAGAAACCGAGATAGCACCTTGCTCTAGAGTCAGACATGACTGGACAAGAAAATCTTTACCTTTACCTGTAGAGAATGGAAAAACAAATATCTGAGCTTCTTAAATAATGTTCAAGAATTGGAATGAACTGGGACAAGCTACTCTAGGGTCAACACCTAAAGTCAGGCCCATGAGAGAAGCCAATCAGTCAGGTTTTCTTTTGTTGTCACAACTTATGAATTTACAGCATCTCTGTCAAAATGCAGACATGACCTGGATGCTGCATTGGATTGAGTAAGATGGTGTTCATCAATCTGACCGTGATCATGCAGGAAAAATGCTGGGAAGATAGTGATAATGATGGTGATGATCATGACTCTAGGATCAATACAAGGTAAAGCTATTCTGTACTAGCTAAGCAGTAGGTCAGATGAGCCTTTTACAGCTGTAATAATAATAAAAAAGTTTGCATTACTTCCAGCTTGGCGTCGCGGCAAGACAGTCGGGGAAATAGCGGGCTCTGATGAGCCCCGTGAAAACCCCGGCTGCCGAACCGCTGTCGATGGATCTTCGGACAGAACCCATCTTGCAGGGACAGGGGGAGAAGAGGGGCGCCTTGGACTACTGAGAGGAACAGAAAACCCTCTGTGAGTTGGTGGCGGGGAGCGGCAGTCATGGCGACTGCCATGAAGCTGGGACAAACTGAAAAAAGAAATGTGCAGGAGGAAGAAGTAAAGAACGATGTACTCCGAAGCCAGGTGAATGACACCAACCTTGGCGAGAAACAACATCAGAGGATGAACTTTTACTAATAAGACCCCTAACCTTAAATAGCGGCTGTGGATTTGTGGGGCAAGAAGATCTAGTAAAGGAATTACAGGAGGCAAAGACCTTTTAAGGAATCTATCCTAGTATAGACTAATTTGGAACAATTGACTATTGAAACATGCTAGTTTGGAGGAAATCTTTTTAAACTGGAACTGATTTGACCTTGGAAAAAGAAAAAAGAAAAAGCGATAAACAGGGATTTAACACCTTTAAGTCTAGAAGAAGAGAGACAAAGGGATGGTTACATAATTACAACAAAATGGAGAGAGCCATGACTAAGTGAAAGTGTGGATTGCAGAGATTCGATTTCCGTTTGAAAAACAAACAATGTGATCTGTCATTTATTTTGGATTAATTTGAAAACAACCAAGGGTTTTTGAATTTTGGAGATTCCTGCTCTATCTATGAGTGGTTTTATTGGTGGAAAGAAAGAAGAAATATTAAAAAAGTGAAACTAACTGGCGTAGGAACAAAAGAAGTTAAATGGCGCAGGAACAAAAGAAGGGAAGCTGATGGACTTTGCATAGAATAGTTATAACAAGAGAATTAAAAAGACCAATAGAGTTTCAAATTCGGCAACATTTAATTAAATGGAATACTTATGGACAGATAAGGAAATGCTATAAAATAAAATATATTTGGTTGTGAAATAAGAACATAAAACAGTTTGATTAAAAATGAAAATGTAATGTTTAAATGTTTAAATGAATTTTGAACATATACAGGAGGTGCTTATAGAGTAATAAAGATGGAAAATAAAACAAGGTAATTAAAATAGAAAATCAATGCAAAGGTGGATAAAAATGATGTCTTTAGAAAAGAATAAGAGTATATATGAATATGAGATAAATTTAAGAAAATTTACTAACTTATGGGAGAATATATGGAGAATATGTTTGAGGTAATATGTTTTAGTTTTAAATTGTAAACAAAACTGAGAATGGTAATTATGATTAAATATGAATGTTTAATGTATTGATGATGAAATAAGATACACAGATTTAATTAACAAACTAAGATTGAGCTTAATGTATGTTGGAAATGGTTAATATTCTGAACAATGCTGGGAACCACCCAGGAAGAGATGTACAGCCAAAATAAGATATGCTGGGAATCAGCCAAACAATAGTTGGAGATATGGAGGAGATTATGCTGGAAATCAGCCAAAATATGATATGCTGGGAATCAGCCAAACAATAGTTGGAGATGTGGAGGAGAATATGCTGGAAATCAGCCAAAACAAAATATGCTGGAAATCAGCTAAATAATAGTTGGAGGTGAGGAGGAGAATATGCTGGAAATCAGCCAAAATAAAATATGCTGCGAACCAGTTAAACAACAGATGTAGGTGTGGAGGAAAATATACTGCAAATCAGCTAAAATATAAAATGGTTGGAAATTAGATAAAATAATAGATAGGGGGTGAAAAAAGAATATGTTGGAAAAATAATTGAAGTGAAGCAAAATGAGTATGAAATGATTCTGTGTAAAATGAAAAGTGTAATAGATGATAATTTTTTTTTTTAAAAAGTGCAAATTAATAGAGTTTAAGATTTAAGGATTTGATGAAATGGGTCCAAGGACCCATTTATAGATATAAATTTGATTTATAAATTGAAATAAAAATAGAGTTGTGCTTATTTGGAAATTAAGATTTGTGGTGATATAATAGTAAGGTAAATATTTAGATTAAATATTTAGATTAGAGGTTAGAATATTCGTTAAAAATTGGTGTTTAGATTTTTATGTTAAAAGGGGTAATGGAGGAAATTTGGGGAAGAGCTAGATAGAATTTTGATTAACAACTGGAATTAAAAATGATGTGTTTATTTGGAAATTAAGATTTGTGGTGATATAATAGAATGGTAAATACCTAGATTAAGATATTAGAATTTTTGTTAAGATTTGTGTTTTGATTTTTATTTTAAAAGATGTAATGGAGGAAATTCAGGATAGAGCGTGTCAAAGAAGTGTAAGCAATTGTACCTATTTATGACCGGATCAAGACTTCGTTCTTAAAAGATGTATTTTATGTTTATGTTTTTTTAAAAAATAAAAATTAAATTAAATTAAAAAAAAAAGTTTGCATTGTTTAGTTCTTGTTTAGACTCATATGATATTTACATATGATATGCTGGTTTACAAAATCAAACATAAAATCAACATAAAAGTATCCTCATAATATCTTTTTATGTTGTTAATTATATTTTATGCCAAGTTTTAAATTATTGAAAAAGAAATTTTTTTAAAAAAATTTGATTTATATGCCGCCCTTCTCCGTAGACTCAGGGCGGCTTACAGTGCGTTAAGCAATAGCCTTCATACTTTTGTATATTTTATACTAAGTCAGCTTATTGCCCCACAAACTGGGTCCTCGATTTACCTACCTTAGAAAGGATGGAAGGCTGAGTCAACCTTGAGTCTGGCAAGATTCGAACTTACTTTAATTGCAGACAGCTGGTGTTAAATTACAGTGCGTTGTCTGCAGAGCTACCCAGGCTCTTCAATTAAATTGAAATATAATTAGTATAAAATGTATTTTAATAGATATAAATAGTGTAAAAATGGTAAAGGAGCATTCAGACATGTTATTTAACAAGTATAGAATAGAGAATAGTCATCAATTTCTGTTTAATCCTTGTTCAATTTACAAGGTTTAAAAATTATTTGTTCATTTTACTCAGTAGGCCAATGATTTCTGGGTCATTAGTTTCAGGAATGATCTTGCATATATCAGGCTGTTTATTTTTATTTTGTTAAAATAAAGAAAAACAGATAAAATGTTCTTTTGAGATGTTTTTCTTAGAATGAAGGAGACTTTATTTACATTTTTAAAAACAGTATATGTGAAAAGGAAGTTCAACAGAATGTAAAATGATCCACACATAACTTTGGGTTTTTAAGTCAGCTGGGACCAATGTTTTGCAAAATTTTGACAACTTCCTGCATTTGTATAAATAAAACACTATTTCTGCAGTGCAGAAACTTAATGAAACTGAGCTTTATATTGGATCATAAGAAATGCGTGGAATTGACTTTTCTTATTGCACCAGTAGTTATCATCTGCATTCAGCATTTAGCAGAACCAAACCCAAGACAATGGAGAGATAATAACCAGCCAGGGAGTGTTGCATTAAATAGATGTGCCATCTCATTATATTATTTTCTAAGGCAACATTTCCAAAGGGAATCAACTTTAAATACACTGTTGACAATCTGAAAAATTATTTTATAAATATGATAAAGTGTATATCTTTTACAAAGGAAGTGCCACCACCAAACAGCAAGAATTTTCATAACATAATAAAGAGGGCTTGCTTGCAAAATAATTTGTTATGCTATTTGAAAAATAGTCATAATCATATTGGTTCTATTCTAAAAGAATAAGTACTTTCCAATGTTTTGCAATTCACACATCCTTTTACACAAGGATCAAAGCTTCAAATTTGTATTTCTTTGTTCAGGTAAAACAATCTTGAACTTACTTGTCTGTATCAAAAAATAACACATCAGTAAGGTAAAAGCAAACCTGAAAAAAGTCATGAGTACATAGGATTCCTTTGGGAAAAATAGTTTTTGTTATTAATAGTTTATATAGTTACATATAGTTTATAGAAAAATAGTTCATTATTACTATTGCTAGTAATAAATAAGATTCAGAAAAAGAGTGTACTTTAATCATGTGGAAAGTGTTAACGAGACTTTTATATGCTAAAGATTTGTCATAGTTATTTATCTTTGCTATTAAATTAACATTATTCGGATTAGAACAGTTAATAATAAAAGCAGGCAAATTTAAGAAATGTTAATCTTTCCTTGTATCCTAAAGAAATCTTTCTTATGAAGTTTGAATTTGCTTTGTACTGTGCTCTGGAACACTATGTACTGTTCCAGAGCAGAATGTATAAAAGCAAGGTTAGCAGGAGAATAAGATGAGATAATGGTTTAAATCATAGTGAAGTTCAGTTACCTTCATGAATCAG